CGGGTACAGCCCCGGCTCCGGTCCTGGTGCCGCCTCCGGTGCTGGTGTCGGGCCGGCGCACAGCCCAGCGGGACAGAGCCCCACAGGGTTCCCACGGCTTCAGGAGCCTCCCCAGGAATTCCCCACCTACAGGAATGCTCTGCTCTGCAAGAGCCAGAGTGGACAAGTGGCAAAGCTCACACGGAGGCAGCGCGGCCAGCGCCGCTTGGCCACAGCAAAGCCTTCCTGGCATTTTGTGCCCCAAATCTGGCACCAGGAAAATGGAGCCTGACCAGTTTGTATACAAGGGGTGCTGGCAACAGTCCTCCCTGGGCTAGTGCAAAGGCTGCACCGCCCCGACCCCAATCTTGCACATTTTTATCCTGGTGGCAGCGGCCAAAGAGCAGCAGACCTGCTGGTGCTGGGGGAGCAACCCAGGAGAGTTCAGTGCACAACCCTGCTCTCTTATAACCCCTTCTCCAGGCTTAGGTGGTCTTAAAACACAGCCTGACAGGAGATGGCTCCATCAGGATGCAAGCACGGGCAGCTTCCCAGCCCCAGACCCGGCCAACCTGTAGGCGCCGAGAACCTGGGCGCTCGCTGGAAGCAGAGCAGGTATCGCCCTGGCCTCTGCGGGGACGGGTCACCTCCCGCCCTGCCACGTGGCCACCATTCCTCCCCTCTCTGGTTTGTGGCAAAACCGTCCCCGTGTGGGGAGGGAAGAGGCTGCCAGAAGGAGGTTCCCAAGGGGGCACCAGGATGCAAGCCCAAGCGTGCCCAAAGAGCTGTACAGTCACGCACCAGCCTCAGTGCCCATAGGAGGTGCTCACCCGGGCGTAGGGAACCACCGAAGTGCTCAGAGCATCATCTGCAGCAGAGGAAGCCGGAACCTCTCCAGCAGGCCCAGGGCAACCAGGGGAGGTGACGAGTTGGCATCCTCAGCACCGGCTCCTTTCCAGCTGTGCTGTGCGCATCTGGCAGCCCCGAGCGCTGCGGTGATGCCAGGGAGCAAAGCGCAGCAGCAGCCCCAGCTCCTCACTCAGGGGGTCTGTGCTCTCCTTTCACGCACCCTTTGCTCTTAGTTGCTCTTTGCAGCTCGTTTGCTCGCACTCGGTGCCGGACCGGGGGACCTCCTGCTCCCTTCCCCGAGCTCGTTACGGCCATCGTTTCCTAACGCCCTTTACGTTTCCGAAGCAATTTCTGTTTTGTCTTTTTTAAGAAAAAAAAAAAAAAGGCAAGCCACCCACCATATGTTCTCCCCTGAAAGAGGTAATTGTTAGCAGACCATTAAAACGTGGGGGCAAGCGCGCCACGATGCCTCCCCTCCGTCCCCAACGCTTTATCCTGTCTCTGTCACCCTTTCAATGCAGCTTTGAGGGGCTCGGCTTTTCTAACTTCCATCCCGGGAAAAAGAAGGGGAAAAAAAAGCCCCACAACGGAGCGCACCACTGAAGTGACCCTCTTCACGGCTCTCCTCCTCCGTGCTGCTTTTCAACGTCTCCCGCGACACCCGACAATAATAAGGGCTGGAGCCCGGCCTCGCCACAACGCACAGACCGGGATTTCACCCTTTTTTCCGCATGCAGTGGAGATGGATGAGGAGACCTGCAATGAGGAGCCAGGAGCGAAACCCGCCCAAGGTGGTAAGGGACCCCCCAAACCTTTCCGGCAAGAAATGCAGTTTCTAAGTAGACAACCAGCATTGCTCCCAACATGAGGGAGGATGTTGTCCTTTCCTCTCACTTCAGCCCTTTCCCAAGCAAAACACGTTATGACGATACCCACAGCAATGTGCTAGGCAAGTCACTAGAGTGTGCTGTGCGGGGACCGGCCGCACGTCACCGCCGTCACCGCGGTGCTTTCCTGGCACCCGGCAGCACAGGGAGCTTCCCCGCCGCCACGGGGAGAGCAAAGCACAAAACACTGGAAACCCTGGACTAGAAGAAGGAAACAAGGCAATAAATAATAAATACATAAATAGAAATAAGAAGCTTAGTGACTTTGCCCAAAGCGGGTGGCTTGGGAGCACTGCAGTCGGAATCAGCATCTCTCTGCTGGCTGATTCGGCAACTGATGGAGATGCTTGATGCAAAAACAGCAATAAATAAATAAATAATAAACAAACAGTTTAAGGCAAATCTGTTTTTTTAAAAAATATTATTCTTTTATTTTGATGCGAACAATCACATCTGGAATTATTTCCACATACAGGATTCGTCCCCCAGGAAAATGGGCAGTTAATTTACTTTAGAGGTAAAATACAACGCACAGAAGACACAAGCATCCCACAACTCTTGTACAAAAGCCACATAGTAATAAATCGCATTACAAACATACCAAAGCATTACCTGACTGATTCGACACCGGCATTTGCCTCATCATTCAAAGGCACAAGAGACTGAGCAGTGCTCAGTGTTACATCTGTTCCTGCCAGCAAATTGCCCAAGATTAGCATTAAAAATAGTTATTAGACCCACATTTCATATTTACCCACTGAAATCAGTATGAAAAATCTCTCTCCTGGCTTGGAAGCAGTAAGAAAATAAAATTTGAAATGGAAAGCACTTTGTTACTGACCAGGCAGCCCGCTGGCAGGCAGTGGGGATGCCAGGGGAGGGCAGCATCATCCCGAACTTTTGGGATGCCAAAACCACCACTGGTGCTGGCGGCACCGCTGCACACGGTGTTGCAGAAGAGGTCCCCCGTTTTGGGACGGGGACACAATTTGCTTTTCAACTTTTCGGTGCGCTTTTTCGGCCGCGTCCGCGGTCAGCCCGGGTAGCACATGCAGCAGCCGGCGGCAGCGAGCTCCGGCTCCGCGCTCGGCCCGTCGAAGAGCCTTTCTGTGAGCTTGTGCTCGGCGATGATGTCCTCCACGCGGCTCACGTACAGCAGGGACAGCAGCACGCCCAGGAACTGCGGGGCAGCACAAACATCAGCGCCTAATACATCTCTATCTACACCTCTCTCTCTATAAATACCTAATGCAGCTTTCACACGTCACACAGACATACATCAGCTATACGGGCACGTATGTGGTTTATCTGTGCTGATAGACCCCCATCTTGTTCTTTCTGATGAGCATTTTGCATGCAGGGTGGCAAAGGAAACACATTTTTCAATGGCTAATGCAGCAAAAAAAGAAATTCTCTCTGCAGCCCTGAGCATCAGCAAGTTTCAGTGGACACAACTAGGAGGAGGATACGACTGAAATTAAAAAAAAAACCCTCCAAATACTGCAATATTTTACAGAACTGCTACTAAATCAACAGTACTATTGATAATGTAAGTTAAATATAAATAAAAATGGTAATCTAACACTGTCCAGGCAGATTTATGCCTGCTATAGTTAAAAAAAACAGCTCCTTTCCTTAATGTGGAGGGCCTCAGCCCCGTCTTACCTGCGGTAACAGTATCCCGAGCAGGACGCCAGCCATGATGCTGTAGTTGTCCAGAAACCAGATGAGCACCGCGTCCGTGCACCCGCGCACGTATATGAGGTGCTGAACGCTCAAACGCTGCGGGACAGCACACGGAGACGCACGTTACGCCGCAAGGAGGAGGCACCGACGCACCGTAACGCGGAATTTGGGAGTCCAGCTCCCTCCTGGTGCAGACCCACCGAATTTGAGAGACCTCGTCCCTCAAGCTCTCCCACATCCAAACAAGCCGGCTCCACAATTTCTTATCCGTCTGCCTCTTTTCCCAAAGAAACGCAGCCGATGCTGATTTAAGACCCGGGCCTGCAAGCTGCAGAGCCCCGTGACCCCGCGCAGCGCAGCGCCCGCCGCGCAGAGCACTTGAGCCTGCAAATGGTCCCGGGCACATGAATGGGGTCAAGTTAAGCAGATGCTCGAGGGCTTTGTGTGCTCGAGCCGGCGCGGGGCGTTGGGGCGATTAAGTCCAAATCAATGAACCTAAATGAACACAGGTCGGCTGCAGAGGTGACCAGTAATCTGAAAAACTAACAACTGGAGCTGCCAGCATGAGCCAAGTGCCTCAAAGGAGCAGGGAAGCAGCACCAACTGTCCGTGCCAGTGGGGCAAAGCTGGGAGTGGGGACCCGCAGCTGACCAAATCACTGATTTCTCTGCTTAATTCGCCCCACGGGTAGCGCCCCACGCTATCAGCCTCTACGCTGCTCATCGAGCAGGTCAAACGAGCAACCACAGGAGAATATTTCACAATCAAACGTTATCCTATTTTAAAACAGGATTATTCCAGATAAAATCTAGAATAACGATTCCTTCGACTTTTGGGTAGATATAAGCATGCAGAGGTCTACTTTGTAGCTGACAAAAAGCAAGCAGAGAAGCATAGCACTGTGCATACCAGTCACCATACCTCTTTGTCAATAGTTTTGTATCCACACATGGTGTTGATAATGTCTGTCTGGAAAGAAAACAACAAAAATGTGTCAAAAAGCCCAGAAAACCATTCGCTTCATCCTTCGTCTGCTCAGAAATTGCAGGTGCCCCCTCATGAACCCAAAGGCAACGCTCCCGTAAGCCTAAATTTGCAGCACCGGGCTCCAACGTGCTGTCAGTTGTGCTCCAAGTGGCCGTGGATTTTGCAAAACCTTCAAGCCCCACGGATAAACACGCGGCCATTAGCAAAATATTTGACCACGTAGTTACATCGTTCAACTCTAAACACAGCATTTGCTAAGAAGACACCAGGGCAGGAGAACGTGCACACAGAGGAGATAAATGCACTGGAAACAGAAGTCTGCAAGCCTTTGAGGACAGCTTTTTAAATCTCAGTTACAGGTGTGTAAATCTTTAATAAATGCTTGGACTGGGCAGTAATTCCCGCAGGGCCCTGCTCAGCAGAGGTGCGATCCGAGCTCGGCTCTCACTGGCACGAGCTTTCCCAAGAAGAGCAGGATCCAGCCCTCCTACATTAACAGGAGTTTTCCATGACTACAAAGAGAGTGAGTAATTACAAACCATATCTGCAGTTTTCCAGGACAGAACCCAGCCTGTATTTGGAAGCATTTGTCAAACATACAAGATTTATTCATCTCGCGATGCCGGTTTTTTTTATTTATTTATTTTATTTCTTTTAAAGGCGGCTGTGGCACTAGCGTGGTCCGGCCGAATGCGTCCACGGCTCTGACCCGCATCCAGCTGCAACATTTTGGAAACGGGGCTTCGGCAGAGAAATGGGAGGTTTTGTTCACAGAAACAAGCGCTATCTTGAATCACCATTGAAAAGCCAGATAGTTCTGCACTAGTCATCACTTTTTCCCTGTATCGTCAACTGAGAGGGCAAAAAAACAACCCCCTGAACTCTTTGGTTGGCTCAGAGCTGATGAGGATCAGCATAAAATGTTTTCAGACACGCAGTTTTCTTAATTCTCAAGCACCTAAAGCATAACTGTTTAGCTTTGGTTTCTGAGAATAAATCAGACTGCAGCGCAGATTTAAACAGACTGCTTCTCATACAGAAAAAAATGCATAAGCATACATAATAAATACTTTCCTAAAGCACAAATACCTTCTACTTCTGCATATCCTTAATTTCCCCATCTCATGCCCCAACCTAAACTGGGAAGCAAGAGAGGCAGGGGTTCCCCATAGGGTTTTTAAACTAAGGAAGAATTTCTCTTCAAATTTAGCATCTCACGCAGCTGGCAAGTGAAGAGCAAAGGGAAGGTGATTTTTTTTTCTTTTCTTTTTAACCAGTTTTGGGGATTTAGTATATAAAAAAAATGAGGCTGATCAGCTAAGAAGAGGTCAGGCTTGTTACCTTATTTCTGACACAGCAGCTATAAGGCACTCCACAGGCCAGCGGTCCCGGCGCAGCGCAGTTGTGATACACGTTCTGTGACCAGTCCTTAAAATCTTCCCCGCCACAGCACTTAAACTGAGAAACACCAGTAGAAAAAGCAAAGAAAGAAGAAAAAGTTGCATCTTAGCAGAAACTTTGTGTCACCAAAGTATATTCATATTCGCAGGCAAAATAAGCAAGAAAAGGGAAAACCAATTTTTTCATTAGATCAGGCAACAAATATCTAGGTCTCCCGAATGTTTATAGAATTGGTCCTAGAGCTTGGTGCAAATTCAAGAAGAAAGGGCTCTGACCACAAGTATAAAACTTGTTTAATAGTGTATCTTGTATAAATAACTGATGCCCCCCGTCACTCGTCAAGCATCAGAGCAAGTTCTACCTCCAGTCCTTCCAAGTTGAAACAATATCTTTTCAGATCTGGACATTATTAACAAATGTTTTTTAGATTCAATCAGTCCTGAGTTGTAATGTACCCCTTCATTTTTTCAAGGGGTTTGACTATATTTTCTTCAAACAAATGAGTCTAAAATACTGAAGCGTACATGCAAGGGATAAACAAACTCCACCAAAATATTTTGGGAATAACTTCATTAGTAGAACTGAGATCAAGCAATTTTTTTTTTTTTAAGTTCACACTGTCTTTATACAATATACAATTTATCTTTCTAAATGAAAGAGTTAATCACCAACACTCACATTTGCTGTACAGGCACATCATTTTGGGGAGTGCATGGAAACATTAAAACATTATGAAGTCTAATGACAAAATTTCCTCGGGATGGCTTGTTCCTGACAGACTTTCCATGTTGACTGTTTTTCAAAGCGGGCTGCCACTTCCGTAACGATGTCATAAAATTATACAGACCATCTCCTAGCCAGCTTTTTTATATTATTTGGCACAGTTACCCACATCATATGGATACTGGAAGAGCCCTGCTGAGCATGTGCTGCCTCTCCCATCTCCTCTGAAGCGTATGGCAGAACTCTTAAGTAATCCAATAAACATTCCAACACAGCAGCCTTAAAAAGGAGGCTATGAGTCAACTACACATGCTATTAGGTAATGTTTCAGCTGCGTTCAACGCAGTCGCCGAAACCCAGCTATAGGTAAATACGCTTCCGTAAGCATTGCATTTGAATAAGGGTGTTACTAAAGAGCTTGCTGTGTTTGTAGTAGAAAATACAAAAGTCAACAGAAAAATAAATAACAATTTGACCACCGCGTTGGAGAAGCGCCAAGGGGTCGCCAAGGACCTACGGCATTCTGGCACCGCTGGCCAATAAACACCCCTGAAAAACCAACCTCCTTCTGAACGAAGTCCATTATGTTCTTGAAGTCCAGGTCATCGTAGTAATTCTCGATGCCTCTTCTGATATTGTTGTTCAGGAAGTCGATGGTCTAGAAGACAAATCAAAATGCAACCCATCGGCTACGTATGCTAAAATGATGCTAAAGAACAGGTCCAAGTGACGAGTGTTACTCATGAGCATGAAAGGACCCATTTGTTTTTTCAATACTTGCTACTAATTTTGAGAAATATGGCAGGAAAATACTTTTTTATATCTGACATATAAATTTCCTCAGCTGTTAGAAATTAACCCCTCCAAATTGTTGTTAAAGCTCAAGACATGAGGGGGAGAAAAAAAGTATTTTCTTTTCAACATCCAATATAATCATAAACAACCAAAAACAGGAATAATCCTAATGAGAATGTAACAACTTTCCTTTCAATAGCTCTGCTACAATTAGTGATCAAAGCTAGATCCCTACAGAGCAAAAAGAAACCAGAAATATTTATAATCATTTTCTCTGTACTAGAGAGTGAAAACTGAAAGAAATAACAGGCTTCCCATATGAAAGACTAGAAATAATGGGGAATTTTGCAGGTCCATCGTACCACTGCAAGAAGGAACAGGCAGCCCTACGAGTTCTGTTTGCTGTAACGTATCCAAGCATCATTAAGACAGGCTGTATGCAACAGCACATATGCAAACTCTGTCTTCTTTGAAAATACATGCCCGTGGAAGATAGGTGTTACAATAAGCATGACTCAAAGAAAGGCACGAAAACTTCCTAGACCGGAGAAGGAAATAACAGAAAGAAATGGAGAAGAAAAACCACAACACACCAAGGAGTCATGCAAACCAACCGGCATTTAAATACAGGCTATTATGCTAAGCTTTTATTAATTACTTCCTTCTCCTCCCCAAACTAAGCCTAACTTACCAGCAATACCATTGAGCAAATAAAAACCTCATCCTTGAACATAGATACTCTGCCAGTGCAGCTGGACAAGGTGTTAGAAAAGCACCCCATGCAAAGAAAAAAAAAATGCATATATATATTTATGTGAGACAGCCAGAAGCGATTCTTTCCCATCCCCCCCATTTAGTAAATGCTAAATGTTTATTTGCTATAAGCCAGATGCCCCTTATGCATGGCCAGATACATTCAAACTCGGTTGGAAACTTCCCAAATCGGTAGTCTGAGACATGGTAAATGAAAGGAAGGAAGGAATGAAATGGAAGGTAAATGAAAAGAGTGCTTTGTAATATGTTAAGGGATGGATTTTTTTGCCTGTATTCCAGATTTTTAGCTAACAGATTTTTCCCTAAATTCTCCAACCTGAACCGAACGTGAAAGGCCCTGAGAAGTCCATACTCACCTGAACAAGGTGCTCACCTGGTTTCTGAAGATCAGCGCCATGACTCCCCCGGTCAGCTCAATCAGCAAGCAAATACCAAGGATGTACATGAACTGCAGAAAGCAAGAAACAAATCTCAATTACTCCTTCCACTGGTGTGCTTAAACCCACAATATGCCATGTCAGGGCACTTAGCGGTTTTCTATGATAATTTCAGTTATAATTTTATGGAAAGAACAATTTTGTTGTTTTTTATAAAATCGTTCACGTCACAAAAATAAAAAGCCTTTTCTCACTTGACTGATTCTGGGGGTTTTTTTTTGTTATTTTTTTTCCCAGTTGGCAAAAACATTGTTTTTCTGCTCTGAATGGAATCAAAACTAATAGATGCATTTATCATGCCAAGACACTTCTCTCTCCAACAGCATCCTCGTTCTTGGAGGAGCATGTTAATGAACTGCCACAGAACACACAGAACATCATGTTTTTGTGCTTCCTACAAAGATAGCAGTTATCTGCCCGCTTTCACTGCTTGGCAAAGCCATGCTTTAAGACAACCCAAGCCATTTTCTATTAAATCATCAGCATTAAAGCAAAGTAAAATTCGGGGCCTGGTACGTTTTGAGTGCATTGCTTCAGAAGTGCAACTCAACAGCAAACCAGCTCACAGTAGAAGTTGTGTTACGAGTACTAATAGGATTTAGTATGCCCAGTGGTGAGATAAATTATATATATAATATGTACATATATATATATATATAAATCAATTTATTTCCCACATGCTATATACATGTATGTGCTACATACATGCGCATGCACATACATGGCCATGGCGTGTAGAAAAGATCACTCTTGCATGATTTTAGGTCTGCTTCTTGCTGGTGCACAGGAAAGACATTGCACAAGTCCTGATTCAAAAGACTCTTCAAGAACAGACCTATTGGCCTGCTCCACAAGGTCAAGGCGATTCCCTTTCAGCACATTTTGGATACGAACCCAGCATTAGGACCAGGTGCCCATGCTCCTCTTAAGGATCACAGAATCATTCCAGATGGAAAAGACCTTCAAGATCATCAAGTCCAACCACAAACCCATCACCAAGGTGCTATGCTGGATGTGAGTGGCTGCTAGAGCCTCCTCTGCCCCAAACCCGGGATGGACTGCAGGGATTTTCCATGTTCCTGGCTACTAATTTCCTCTTTCCTCTCCACACATTTCCTCCTCTGCCTTCCACATGATTTCCGGCAGTAAAACACGTCGTTGTTCATGGAAACCGGGACATACACAGCCACGGGCAAAGCCCTGCAAGTCTGCCTCAGAAAACCAGCTTCGTTCAGTGCTCAGTTGTGCCCAAATATTACTGCCATCAATTTATTAGACATTTATTTAGACATCTTTTACATCAGGCATCTTTTCTTCTGCCAGACACAAAAATCAGTCCTGGAAACACATGAGGGACTTTGCTGGCTTCAGGTTTCCTTCCACAGGAAGGCCAGAAAAGGTCTTAGGCATCAGACGGAGCAGCAATGCCATACTGAGAATTAAGGCAGCTATGACCATCTATGAACGTATTATCAGTTATTAACCTTTATTTTTAGGGATGATAATGCAACACTTTGGTTATGTTCCGGTGTGATTTAAAAATTCTCAATTACCTCTTGCTTTAGCCTATGTATCATACCATATATCCAGTGCTTCTTTAAAACAAACTGACTTTCAGGCGAGAACCACATTTCTGCATTTTCCTGTAATCTAGCAGCATACATCATTTTCATTAGCAACCACTGGATTCTATAGGAATTACCCTCAAACTTACCCATTCAAAGAAAATCTGGCCCCTGTTATTTCTGCCTTATGGGCACCATCTCAAAGCCCAAAGCAACCCTATAGGTTTTCACATTCCTGTTTGCTTATGGGTTTGCTTTTCAGTATCACTTGAAATTAAAAGCTATGAAATCCATAAAACTGAAGAATTAAAAAAAAATAGAACAAAAACATACTTACTGCTTGAAGGAGGCATAAATTGTCTCTCAACGATGCCAGCACACCCACAAAAGACACAAGGAACATTATAATACCCAAAAGGATTAAAATAATTGCTGGAGCTAGAAAGGCACTTTCCAGGGTTTTGTACTTTTGTCTTTCAACTTCTGCATAAATTCCAACACCGAGAACAAATGCTCCAATTATCTGAAATGGAAAAAACACAAGAACACAGATGTTATTTTTTTTTTTTGCCCCAGCAAATACAGAGATGAAATTCTATTACTGGAAGTATACAGGAATCCGTGACTAATTACTTCAGAACTAATTATAATCCATTAAACACTTACTAGCCAAAGACTGAATAAAAAACTCAAAGACTATGGCAGAAAAAGCTGAGTTAGAAAAAGAAAAGAAAAAAGAAAAAGAGAGATTTGTTCCTTTCTGAAATCTATTTAATAATAATGGCCTCAGCAGTTTGGAATTCAACCCAGTTCCATATGCTTCAATTTGTTTAAAATTTAATTTATTGGCCACCTGAGCACAGGTACATGAATTCACAAGTGTCGCAACATTAATATTTCTCCTTTGCATATTCTTCTCTCTATATATACATATACATACACACAGAGATACAAATACACAGAGATACATACATACATATCTATAAGTATATGGGACCAATTTATTAAGTTGCTTCAATTTGTCAGAGGGGAGAGTTACCCTGAGTTTGGTCACGTCAGAGTTAGAAACTGCACTGTAAGACTGGGATCACAGAAAACACATTAGGCAAATAACCCTGCTTTAAATTTATTATGTCTGTGACTAGATCATCTCTTCCATAATATATCGTGGGGTTTTCTACCACTACATGGCTGCTCTGCAGTGTTATCTTGACTCCTTTAAAAAATTAACTAAGTCATGAATTATAAATCTCGCCTCTAGCAGAAAACAACATAAAGCAGTGTGAAATATTTAAATGCAGACACACCAATTGAGGAAAGAATCATAAAACCACGGAACAGCAATTATAGAAAAAAAAACATTTGCAAAGTCCATTGATTTTTAAGGAATCACTGTGCAATTAATAGTGTTCTGGAAAAATACAGACGCTGAGCAGCAGTTTGAGACTGGCAACATTTACAGGGACTTTTTGGGAGAGAGGAGGATTCTGCTGGAGCTCAGGAGCCCGGCACAGCTGTGAGGATTTGAAACCTCCCTCTCAGCAGCGAGCCCCGACTGCGGATCGTTTCTGCAGCTCCTTCCTTGCGCTGCATTTCATCACACACTAAAAACTCATTTCCAGTTTTGGCTAAACCAAAAATGCAATTTTCATTACTTACCTTCTAATTTTCTACTAGCTGAAGCGTTTCCTACTCTAGGCCTTTAAAAGCACTGAGATGACACCTGCATCTGCCACAATTTCACACGTGCCCTGAAACGCATATATCACTTACATCCCTAAAAATCACGTTTTACTGAAACAGCTTTTCCTAAACTCTATTTTCCTAGCCAAAATCATGAGACACTTTAAGAACATCTTGAGCTTTAATGATGCTCATGACTAGAGATATTATATATATATACACACTTGAAAAGCGTTAGGTATACAGAGCTGCATACAGAGGCACTTACGTACGTACACACACATCCTCATCTCCTTCCATGTGCAGCTTGCTTATGCACCCTCCAAAAGTGATTCCAATATGCCAAGTGCAAGAGAAATTTCAATATTTTTCTCTTTGCCTTTTTTTTTTTTTTTTAGCATTTTTTACTAAATGAAAATCTAAACCTCTCCTAGGGCTCACAGCAACAGCTCCAGGTAGCAGATGCAGCCAGCGCAACGCATAAGACGAGTTTAATCCCAGTGGTGTCTCCTCGCCGGCAGGTCTCTCCCTTCCTGTGCGTCCAGATGGAAACGCAGGAAGCGCCCAGACATACGTCCTGTTTGCATCCTGCATCCTTCGTGACGTCTCCGAGTTTGGCAACCCATGTCGCGTTCACAGGAAAAACACGTCGGTCTTGGCTCGCGCTAAGTGAGGAGCATCAGCAAACACCAGGGGCTTTGCATGCAGACAAGCTGCTTTCCCCAAGGAAAAGGAGAAGCTTTTGTAATTCTAACTACTGGTTTTAATATTGTATTCGTAGCATTTGCTGTTAGAAAGGAAAAAGTTGTGCCTATTCGGTAATAACAGATAGCAAGTAGGAAAAATGTTGCTGCGACTTCATTCACCTGCAAACTATCTCTCTCAAAAAGTTATAGTAAGGGCAGCTTTTAAAGAAAGCCCCAGGTGCCACCTGCAGACCCAACCTGCTAATGAACACGCTCATTTGACAGCACAAGCTGTATTTTCAGGTCTGTTTTCTTCATGCTTTCCAGCAACGCTGATGTTCCAGGCACAAAAAAATACCCCAAATTAAGAAAGCCAACGTTCATTATTGAAATTCCTCAGCCACATCCTGCTCCTATTTATACTAACAGAAATCCAAGAGGCCAATCAGACTATGCTGCTGGGGAAAAACATAGACGTATAGATATAATTGCAGCATTGATGCTGCTGCTAACGAGATGCGGCTTGCTGAGCCCAAGGAATGTGGGATTCGCGGCGCGCGGACAACGACGCAACACGGTGGCTCCCACAACGCGCCGTGGGTCGGGGCCACGACGCGAGGGCAGAGCCGCCTTGCGCGGCCGTGGGGTGCTCCCACCCCAGCCCCGCCGGCGAGGAAGCTTCTCCTCCTCCTCGGACGCGGGATGGGGACGGGCAGACACAGCCCTGCTGGGGACACCCTGCCAGCAGCCCGAAAAGGGCTTTTTTCACCCCAGATCGCACTGGGAGAGGGCACAAGCGCACCTGTAGCACAACACCACACCCGCACAACACCACCACCCAGCGCACAACCCCGCCACACACGCGCACCGCCACCCCGCGCACGCCCCTCACCCAGAAGGCGGTGCTGTAGGCGACGAGGGTGAATTTGAGGCAGAGGTAGGAGAGGCGCCCGCAGTAGCGCGCCTGCTCCACGTCCCCCGGCGCCATCCTCCTCCTCCTCCCCTTCCTCCTCGCCACCTGCTGTTGTCGCCGGGCGGAGCTTCCCTCGCGCCACCCCCCGCGCTGTTGCTCGGCTTTCCCTTCTGTTTGGGGATTTTTTGGAGCGTGCAACCCGCTTGCTCGCCGCCGCTCACACCCTGCATGCGATGCCCCAGCGTGGCCTGTTCCTGCCGTGTCCCTCCGCGCCTGGCGGTGCGGCCTCGCGCCGGCGCGCGCCGCCCCATAGGCATCGCTCAAGTCCTGCCCGGTCCAATGTGCACCAGCGGTAACGCCTCCGCTATCGCCTCGCCGTGTTTCTTCCCCAAACACACTCAGGGTGTTATTCACCCTTTACGGCTCCTGTTTGCATCTCTCGGGCGGCGGTGGCAGCAGTGTTTGGCCTCCGACAACCTTGTCCTTTGTAGACACGGCAAACAGAGCCAGCCCAACACCCTGGCACAAGGGAGCACCTTTCCTAGAGAGCTAAAAATACATTGCTTTCCCTTCGATTTTTTTTTGCCTAGAGTTGAGCATGGCTGGACCTGCAGGAGCTGGAAAACTCACATTTCCCTCATAGTTCCGAGCCCCTGCAATTGGTCCCAATGCTGCAAGCAGCTCTTAGCAGCCGGAGGACTCCAACATCCAGCGGGCATGGGGCCGGTGCCAACTACTCTTGGAAATCTCAGCGCCGATGGGCTGTTTAGGTTTGACATAGTTTATCCCAAAGCTGACAGCAAGACTCGTCCTCGGAGCAGGGAGCGGAGCGCTGCACTTGACACTGGAGACTCCACCTCCCTTCGCGTCCCCTCGCCCTGCGCAAAACGTCCCCGTGCCAGCGCCTCAGGACAGAGCTGGCCCAAAACGGACGGGTTTCCACCTGCGTTGAAACACCCTCGGGCGCGACACCGGATCAATATTTCCTGAAGATAACCTGAAGGAAGAGACTGCCAGGTGCTGCAGAGCTGCAAAACCCTCCACCCATCTTTTTTTCTCCCCTTTTTCTTTCTTTTTTAGGGGGAAAAGGAGCTCAAAGCAGGAGAGGTGGGTGGCAAGGGTGTTGCTTTGGCTTTGCCCTTCGCTTTCCGGGAGCTGCAACTTGGGAGCCATGAGTGTGGCTCCCCTTCCCAACGGGAGCAATGTCCCCAGCGGGGACCCCTTTGGGGACAGCAGCAACGGGACAGCCGAAACCCAGTTCACACAGCCTGGCTGGCAGATCGCGCTCTGGGCCATCACCTACTCGCTCATCGTGGTGGCGTCGCTTGTGGGCAACGTCACCGTCATCTGGATCATCCTGGCACACCGGCGCATGAGGACTGCCACCAACTACTTCATCGTCAACCTGGCCCTGGCCGACGTGCTCATGGCGGCTTTCAACACCATCTTCAACTTCGTCTACGCCAGCCACAACGTGTGGTACTTCGGCGAGGAGTTCTGCAGGTTTCAGAACTGGTTCCCCGTTACTGCCATGTTTGTGAGTATTTACTCCATGACAGCGATTGCTGCAGAGAGGTAAGAGGCGACGGGGGAAGGCAACGTCTGCAAAAAACCTGCTGTACACACACACAAAAAAAACCTGTAAAAATTAAGATATATATATTTACACTGGAACACTCTGTGCACTTGGTCCCCATCGGCCATGCAGTACATGGAGCAAATAGAGGATGGGGTCAGATGCCAGCTAGGAACTGAAAAGCAGGTCCCCCTGCCTAATCCCTGGTCTGAATCATGCCCAGGTCTGCAACGCATGGGAAGGGCTTGGATTTGTTTTGTTCTCATGTTACGTGCATTTTCCACGCACGCCTTTTCGGGTTTTAAACCCTGGGAAGGTCTCATAATTTACAATAATTCATGGGCATAATTTATTCCAGGGAGGGGGGAAGTAATCATGGTGGTTTTGTTTGACTTTTGAGGCAGTTTAGCATTTTCGTAATACTCTCTTGGAAGTCTCTCTTACTCGAGCTTAGATTTATGGAGTCCAAATGCATTTATGGTTCGTTATTAAGTAGCGTAATGCCTTACTCCCCCATTTATGAGGAAATAGTCAAAAGTCCATGGCAATTTCCTTTCCTAGAGGCAGCGAGGTGTAAAGTCTCTCCCGGTCACCCTGGTGTTGCCTCATGGCCCTGGGGCGAGCACAGCCCGTTGCCCAGAAATACCTGGGCTTCTTATCGCGTCCTCTCCCTGACTCTGTGGTTTCCTCCCTGTTCCAGCCGTGTCTTATCGACTGGGGAAAGGGCCAGCATCCCTGCGAAGCCACCTGCAAAGCAACGCCCTGAGTCATCCCCCTGACGCCCCCCAGTCCCCCGCTTGCTGCTAACGGTTATTTTATACATGTAGGCTGCTAAAGAAAGCACTAACCCCCGCTATTTCAGCCTGTTCTCGTGTCTCCCCACTCTCCTTCCTCGGGGGTAAAGCACCTCTCTGAAGCCAAAGTCTCTCAAGCCGCACAGTGAGGCTCAGAGCAAACTTGGCATCTCCCCGCAAACCATATTTAGCTCTTCTTTGCTTGACCTTAAAATAGACGCTGACACCGTCTCCCGGAGCCCCACGGCTCCGTTAGCTGTTGTGAGACCCAGTGTCCCCTCGGGTTCTGCTGTTTGACGAAAATCCGGCTATTGAGGCAGTTTATTACAAGAAGCAAGAGATCTCAAAGCCACCCCGGGGCGACAAAGGGCCCCAGAGCACAGAATTTGACAGATTTCCCACGGGGAAAACGGAGAGGCAGTTGGCATTTTCCACACTCTTTTGCCTTGGACAGCAGCATGGCGAGGCATGGGAGCGGTACAAGCTTCCCAGTGCTAAAATCAGGGCAAAAAATGAAAATAATAATAATATTGGGTTGAATATATGCAAAATTGTGCTGTTGTGAGAATATCGAGCATCAAAGATTGATACAAGGAGAGGGCACCGCATGTTTAGGTGCCACAGCAATGCGACCTTCCGCTGTCGGTATTATTTTAAGTGCACAGGACATGTCCATGGGAGAGTTGAGAGCCAGGAAACTGTGCTGGCCTTTTCAGAGCCCCTCTTGGTTGAGTTTTTATTGTGTTTTGTTTTTTTTTTTTCTGCATGGTTTATGGAGGCACCTGTGCAGAGCGCTACCCACCTTCCTTGCAGGTATGTGGCCATAATCCACCCCTTCAAGCCCCGGCTGTCGGCGGGAAGCACCAGGGTCATCATCGCGCTCATCTGGCTGGTGGCGTTCGGGCTCGCCTTCCCGCAGTGCTTCTACGCCGAGATCCTCACGGATAACGGCACCACCAAATGCGTCGTCGTCTGGCCGGACGACATCGGGTGGAAGCACCAGCTCACGTAAGACCCGCTCCCATCGTGCGAACTGGTGGTGAGAGCAGCGGCATCCCAAAGGGAGCAGGTTCCAGCGCGGGCAGAGCAGGTGCCCAACGCCCTGATGGTGCTTTTCTCTAGAGAAAACGGGCGCAGTTATGCTGGCGGAAACAACTCAAAAAGAGAGAAAGAAAACACCCAAAATCGTGACTGCACGAGGAACCCGGGATGTGATGGGTCCTGCTTTAGGGCCGAGAAGGCCCAGCGCGCCAGCCCAGCTCCATGCCAGGAGTGCAGCGCTGGCGTTTGCAGTGTTTACACAGGCCGCGAGCTGCTGGCTTCCTCCCCATAAACAGCGTTTGCTGAAAGCACCCAGGGACAAGCGGCAGGGACGCAGTGGGAGCTGGGGGGACGCGGAGAGCGCCCGAGCTCGCTCACGAGCAGCACGGACACAAGCAGGGTTCTCGGCTCCTGGCCTACAGAAGACCCTGCAACGATGCTCTCCCGACCACAAAAGCCTTCTCATTTTTTTTGTTGCCTTTCTTCTTTTTCAGGTATCACCTTGTCGTGATTGTGTTGATTTATTTACTGCCCTTAATGGTGATGTTCGTCGCGTACAGCATTATAGGGATCACCCTGTGGAGCAGCACTGTTCCGGGCAGCCACGTTAACCGAATCCCATATGAACAGCAAGTTAATGCCAAAAAGAAGGTCAGCAGTTAAATTTATAATTGTGCTCAGCGTGCCAGCCCTGCTGGTTCCAGCTCCATAATAGAGCTCGCACTTAATATAAAATCTTGCTGGATTAGGAAGGATGAGGGTGTGTTGTGGGCCAACGGGCATTGCTCTGCAAGCAGGAAAAAGCCCAAGGGGACACTCAAGGGAGCTCCACAGCACCAGGGAGGGGGTTAGACTGCCCAGAAAACTTGGAGAGGAAAGAGCAGCATCCAGTGAATCTGCATAGCACAGGATGGGCCTCTCCAGCGCTTCCCAGGGCTCTCCATGCACTGCCACGCGCGGTGCTTCCGGGTGGAGAAGCAGGCACAGGAGGAGAGCAGGATCTCCCGCTCGCCCGGGAGCTGTCGCACGTAACTCGCTGCTTTTGCTTCGCCAGTTTGTGAAGACCATGGTGGTGGTCGTGGTCATCTTTGCTGTCTGCTGGCTGCCTTACCACATCTACTTCATCCTGGGGCACCTCAAGGAGGACATCTACCAGCAGAAGTACATCCAGCAGGTTTACCTGGCCATCTTCCTGCTGGCTATGAGCTCCACCATGTATAACCCCATCATCTACTGCTGCCTCAACCAAAAGTGAGTAGCCTGTAAGGGCACCTGTACATCTCTGCGCACTGGGTCACTCGTTCGTTTCACCAGTTAATTCCTCTTCTTTGTGTGTACAGGTTTCGCTCCGGCTTCAAACTAGCCTTCCGGTGGTGTCCGTGCATAAAAGCAACCGAGAAAGACAAACTTAAGCTTTCATCGCCCTCCCATTACCAGACGACCCAGAGAAAGTCCAAGACATCCAGTTTCACCACGGAAACACAGTTCAACGAGAGGACGTCGTTTACCCTCGCTCAGCTAACGCTCTGACTGTCTTCCCGATGAGAAACACGGGAGTTCGCGGGTGCTCTTTTTCCCAGGAAAGATAAGATTTTCATGTTCACGTTAAAGTCATTTCGGTAGCGCAATAACGAAGAGGACGGATGGAGCATTCAGCAAGACTTACAGCTTCGAGCGAGACATCTCGGTGGTTGCTCGGATGACATCGAGACCTTTCTTCTGACGCGCTGCCAGCTTGCGGCTCGGCTTCCTAGGGGTAAAAATTGGGGGCTATTTGAGCTGTAATGCAAAATGCAGATCTTGGAGAGGCACACGCAGCTGCAGCGTGTGCAGAAGGGGCTCTCACACACGGAGCCGAGCCCCCCTCTCCACCCGGGAATACGCACGCGCAAATCCCAGGCAGCGCCGGGCTGAGCCGGCAGCTCTCCCTGCACAATAGGCGCTTCCCAAAGCGCCGAGCAGCAGCATCCCGTTCTGGAAAGAACCACTACACACCAGTTAACACACATCAAAAAAAAAACAGTTTAATATTTTCCACAAGTATCACGTGACACTAGTACGGGAGCGACTAGTGTGCAAAGTAAAAAGACTCTCTACCTTCGCAAAACCAGGCAGGCATGCAGGTTCCCCGGCAGACACACACGCAAAACTGCAACGACGGCGCGCGACGCACGCAGTACTCGACGACAGTCACACACGGTGCACCGTAACGCACACGGACACGTTTTACCGACAGGCAGGGCAATCCAAACCTTGGGAAGGGCAAAGAGAGTCCGTGGGAGCAGCCTGCAGATTTCTGCCTACTTTCTGCAGGCAAAGAGGTGGGAAGGCCATGCAGAGATCTCCATTTTCGGAGGGAGAAAGGGAATTAAATGCTAGTGCAGTGGCAGCTTTCCCTCTTTGCAGAAAGAAAGCGGAGTGACTTGCAAGTGTCATTGAACTTCTGCCTTCCTAAGCTACTTCTCCAAGTACGGAATATAAGTGCATGTGAATATAATGATGACATCAACTTGACAGAGGACACAATACACCGAGTGCGTGTAACCCTTGGTACTTTAGTCCTTGGAATAAGCTGGGGCTGGTTTTGGATTTGTGGTTCGGTTGCTCTTTGCACCTGGGTCCTCAAAGCCAAGATTGAAGGAAAAATAAATAAATAAAAAAAACCCTCAAGTTCCTTTCTCCTCCTGGACTTTAGCTGTTGTGTTTTGAGGGGCTGCTTGAGAGTATTAAAGATTAAAGCTTTGAGTGGAAGCAAATACTCATTAAAGGCGAGAGAAGGAGGCATCCAAACAACACCGGGGAGCTCCAGGTCCAGCAGACCGGCAGCTCCAGTGCCCCCATCAGCCAGCAAGAAGAGACAGAAAATGTGTTTTTACAAGAGCTCCCATCAGCAGGGTGGAGTGCAGCCCAGCTCCTGCGCCTGGGGATTTGGACTGCCCCAGTCGCCAACCACTTCGCTCAACTCCCTCGGGATTTTTCTGCCAAAACGTTACAGCTTTTGCTTGGTAACACGACACAATTCACAGAAGCAGTGGGAGACACCAGTGGGACCAGATCGGCGGCACAAGGCAGCGTTTCGAGGAAGCAAGTCGCTTGCGCGGCCGTTCCCGCTGCGGAGACACGCGCGTCTCTGCAGCCGCCCCAAGCAGCACGACAGCGGGTCCGTACGCAGCAGGGAACTGCCGATGGCCGCCTCCAAAAGCCAAATCCCACGTCGGGCGGGCAGCACGCGCCGCGGGGAGCGCGCGTCCGGCACCGTGCGCCGGCAGCCCTCGCGCGGCCATCGCCTGGGGGCAACCTCACCTCGCACAGCAGCCGGGCTGCGGCGGCTGCGGAAAGCACACACTGATTTCCAACGACCTACAGGTGGGGGAGGTACCAACAAGGTGAATAAAAAACATGCAGATTGGATTTGGGGTTCAGAAACAGGAGATATTATTAACAGCACACATTCTAGCTTGTATCCTATTTATGTCATTAGTTGTTGTTTTTTTTTTTTTCCAATAAAGCAGTGAGTTCTGTTTTTTTTTTTATCTTTTTTTTTTTCTTTTTAAACCAGTTCAGGCTAGGCAGTCGCTGCTTTATGAGAAAGTGCTCACAGGACAGGGTCGGGACGGAGGAGTTCAGTTCTGCTCGGCGTCGCGGAGCCGGCAGCCCCCGGCCGTGATGAGGGCCGCCAC